CATGCCACAATTGCTGCATTGCATTAAATCAAATCAACGTAGCATCAGAAAGACACCTGTGACTCGATGCTGTTACCCATCACGCCAAGAGAAGAAAAGTTAATTTTGAGTCAAACTGAAGCTGCTTCTATCCTAGAAGGGCTCTCCACCTTGGAAATGCGAGGCCAGTGTTAATCCTCATTTTCACCCATTCCTTAACTGACAGTTTCTTTTTCTTTGGCATGAATAAGTCCCGATCGCCTTCAGCTGAATGTTAAGGTCTGCTGGATGCACTGTCTCCACTTTGCTCCTATACTTTAAGTCTTGAGTAGTAGCCGTTCATATGCACTTACATGCATGCGCTGCTGGCTCGACTATGTAAAAAAGAAACTGTAGGAAAACACAGAGAGAAATGGTGTGACGTCCTACTATAGTCCATCTGAAAATATTCCTTAGTTCTTCATAAAAATATATTTTTTATTTTTTTACCTAAAATAATGACATTTTGCTTATTACAAGTAATTATTAATCGAAATTAGCAAAAATCCATTAGGTACAGATAATCAAATGTATTTAGTATTTACAATTATAATATTAAATCAGAATGAAGTATTTTGAAGCATGGCAGGGTCACAACAATGTTACTTAGAAAAGATATCAGTGATAATCTTTTAGTCATCTGTGGTACCAGTATGCCTGCAACTAATGCTTGTTTAAATATCTGGATGATCTGTCAGTATCTGTTTTTTTCTTTTAATCTATCTCTGCTTCTGTGGGCACACCTTCTATTCTCGGTACTCCAGGTTCTCACCAGAATGTTGAATGTTTTGACAGCATAACAAGGGGTAGGTGGATGGGGTGTTAAGGAAAGAATGTTGCTTAACTGCTAAGCTGGATGTTGCTAAAGAAACTGTTTAAAATTGTTCCTAATTAATATTCTCTTCTCCACCCTTTTCTTTCACATTTTTTTAATCATCTTTGCTAATTCCCATTCCTGTTTCTTACTATTACGGCGTGGTGCTAGTCGGATCAGTCATTGATATGTAAAAGTACTGAGCCACCTGCAGTCACGGGGGCAGCTGCGCACCAGCATAGCAATGCTGCAGCGTTTGATGGGATAGGAATAAAAATGCCCAGACCAACAGCTGGATTGGTTTGACTAAGGATATGGGAATCACCCTAAACCTCCCTATGTCCACCCTTCCCTTGCCTTTAAAGGTTTTGCTAGCTGGCTGGTGGTGGGAGTGCATGTGTTCACCGGCATGCCAGTGTACGTGTGTCTGCATTGTTGAAGTGCGCATATTTCCTTCTAGCTTTTGTCAAGTTTTGAGTTTCATAAAAGATTGTAGAAAACTGGCATTACCAAGAAACAAATAAATCTATTGACATTAACCACAAAGACAAATCACTGAATGCCGGCGCGCCCTCCTTTGATAATGGATACTTGGAACCTGGATTGGGACACCTAAACAGGTGCACATACATGCAACTGCTGAAATAAGGTGTTTTCATTGCGATGACTCAAGGTTCTCCACAGACTGGTTTGTCATGTTTACATGTAAATAAGCAATTCAATACATTCAGAAACACCTTTTCCAAAGCAGTAAAGCATCTTGACAGACAACTTAACAGCCTTTTTACAGCCCAACTTTAAAACCTAATAGCATAACGGCCAATTAAATTTAAATGTACTTGCTGAAAACCCTCACTAGTAGCCTTCATATTGTATTGCCCTTTGTCTGAATGATTTAGCTAAAAATCAAAAGTATGATTATTTTTTCAGCCAGTATTGTGAAAACTGAGATTTGGTCATGATTTTCTTTTGCATTAACAAAAATAATGTATATTCTACTCCAAGGTTGAATAGTTTTCATAAGCTTGATGGTTTCCTTTCATAGTGTCCATTGTATTAGGACTTTACCGTTCTAGTTGTATGACCAAGGACTAACCTTTACCTGCATACATGGATCTATGTGCTAGCTGCAACTCTATGTTCCCTTTGTGTGTTGAAGGAAAACCCCACTTTAGGCATAATAAAGTACTACCCCCTAAAGGGCAGGAGAGAAAAAATCAGTGTCTTGCTATTGTTAAATGTATTGCCATCAAAATTGCATTCCCTAGCCATTTGAAATTGGGATTTGGTCATTTGGGATTTAATTGCAAGTCCAATTATTTTCAAAGCCCGTTTTCATCAATTTTATCTTAGCATAAATTAGATAGAACTGAAATAAAGGAGGACAAGTCCATGTTAAACTGGGTCATTTTAAATCTATAAAATTAAAATTTAAAAATTAAAATGGATAAAAATGAATATAAAATAAAGTAAAAACAAATTTACATTTAAATACACTTTTTCAAATCTGTTTAAAAAAAAAAAACCCTTTTTATGAGTGTTTTTGCCTTTAGACCCCTTAAGGTGAGGTTAGTCATGAAAACTGAAAAAGGCTGGTTAGACTACTCAAAGTTATCATTCTCTTAACAATGTTTTTGGGTTTTTTTTTTAAATCAAGAAGTTTAAAAAAAAATATTAGTTGACTTTTGAACAAATCAGTTCAGGTCTGAAAACATCAAAGCCTGTAATAGGAAAGCATGAAAATGTTCCTAGCCTCTTGTTGGGTAGAGCAGTTTAAATACGCTAGTTTGATTTGAGTAGCCCACCACACATTTGAACTGATAACTGAAAAATAAAACCAAAGGGAAAGTTTTTACTATTACGGGCAGCTCAACATTTGGCTATAAACCTCTCGCTTTGTGATTCTCCAAAGTGATAACACCTTTAAAGGGTCTTTTGTGGACTTTTTGTATGTAACACTACTTCATGCACCATGAGCTGATGCAAAGCAATGAAAAACACAGACTTCCTGTGACATCTAACCCAATTGTGGTCCCTGGGAGACACTCAGTGACATTCAGCAGGCCAGCTCATGCCCACTTTGTCTCAGGATGAGCTGTTTTGTTTGTTTGTTTCTCTTTTTTTTCTTAGTAAAAGAGATATGCACTATAAGATAAACAGCTCAGCAAAGGACAACACTGTTTTATTAGATTTTTCGCCACACTATAAATAAATAATTCATGTAAACAGAGCATGTACTTCCTCTTAGGCATGTCTTTGTGTTTCTTACCTTGATTAGAGAGTTAGGGGCTTTTTCTTGGTTGTGATTTGAGCTGATAGATGTCATGTTGCAACTAAGTTGTGAAGGTAATTTGGAAAATGTCAATCACAGTTTCGACCTTAACAGCCAAAGCAATTTCTCTTATAAAATGTAAGAACTATAAAGCTATAAAGTATATTTAGCTTTTGTTAAAGCAACATAACCTGACACAGAAAAAATGTCAATAGAATGACAAAATAATCTGCATCTGTTTTAGTTACCTTTATTTAGTGGGAAGATCATGCCACATTAAGTAATTATTGCTACTAAGAAATTCACTGTTGCAACCTTTTTTTTTATTAAATTATTTTATTTGATTAGATTAGTTATTTATGATTTGTATTGACCCTACACAAAACAAATTGAACTGAAGCATTGCTTGTTGTATATTAAATGTTCTAAGAAAGAAATGTGAGTTTCTAGAACCTTCTGATTTGTGATCCACGACTTCTTTGTTTGTTGAAATGTAGATATGACTCTCAGACTAGCCTTATTTTATAGCTTCTTCTCAAAATGAGAAAATGGCAACACAATTAGATTAGGGCAAATTTTCACTGGTTATAACAAGCAAAAAAAATACCAATATATAAGCAGTCAGCAGTAACTAAAAAAATACACTTGAACAATAAGATGTTAAGAGGAGGATAGGAAGGTAAGTCTTCCTTAACGCAACAAGGAAAATCCTTATTGCTCATTTTACTGCAGTAAAAAAAATCTGTGTTAGATTATTTTAAAACAAACCTAAATGCAGTTTAAGGTTTTTGTATATGTGACATTTTTGTTTGCTGTGAGGCTTTGTTTTCCTGTATGTCACTTTGCAGGCAAATATTTGGAATTAGAGATATTTTTATATTGTTGCCTATAGTCATGTATTGAATTAATCAATGTTCAACCATTGACAGTTTCTGGTTACTTATGGAAACAATTAAGCTCTTATCGACAAGAATAAGTCAGTTTGAATTGTGTGTATGTGTTTTTTATATATAAAACAAATTAGACGTGTGAAAAATTCAGTGTCTCTTAGTGTTCTTGATTATCCGCTGTCTTGTGCTGTTGCATGCTAGGAACAACGGCACACCTGCTTTCGTAAGCGTACTTGCTGAAATAAATTATCAAGCTTCTAAAAGCAGGCATCAAGAACTGTACAGCCACTTATCTCTTTTGTAAATCTAACACGCTCCCTGCAGTGTTTGGAAATGAGCTCTTTTGAGATGCACACCAAAGCTTCCCCCCAAAGAGTAAAACTGATGCCCTTGTCAAAACAGAGTCACAAGGCAGAGCTGCAACATCCTAATTGTGGGGCTAAGGGCAAGGCATGTGTCATGTTTAGTTCACGTTGTTTTAGGCATTTCTGTTTACAGGCACACACTTTGGTGAGTAAGAACTGTTGAATAAATTCTAAGGTGTTTTTTTTTATTATAGAACTGTACAACATCTTAACCAATGAAAGAAGCACTTTATTCATTTTTCTAAATTGTAAATTACCTGTACTTGTAGCGTATGTTTTATGTTTAAAAAATTTTAACCACCTAATATTTGCTTTGATGAAAATATTTCTTTTCATCAAACTGTCAATGGTTAATATATTATCATTAGTTAATTTGTGTAGTTTTTCTACCTCTCTAACATGTTCTTGTCTGTGTGGTTTATACATTTTAAACATTCAGTAGAAGTTTAACATTGGTAAGCCTATTAAGAGGAGACAGCATTTTAAGCTGTTATCTAAACTGACTGAATTCCATTGATTTACCAAGAGTTCATCAATCTATCAGACCTAAATAAGAGATTTACAACCTATTTCTGACTTGCAATATTCGCTTTGTTTTGAAAGGAGAAAGAAACCATGATTCCAACCCACCCTTGATCCCTCTGGTATTTACATGTGCTTAAATGAAGTCCTTACCTGATACTGAGGAGTTGTCTGGAGTGCATTTAAAGAGAATGAAGATATCCTGCTGGTTTATCTATAAAAAAAACCCCAGAGGAATATTACATATTGTATGACGTAAGAAAAAAATGACAGCAAAAAGACATTTATTGCAACTAGACCTTGATCTGTATATTTGTCCTCTGATTGAGCTAACTTTGCTAATGGATCCTCATGTTTAAGCTGAATCCAAACTCAGCACTGCTTGACGGCATATGTTTATATGGAGGCAGTTATCATGAGTGACTGATGTGCAAACCAAGAGCCAGATTGTAGGCATTTATTAACCTTTTTCTAAAACACTCTCTTTAGACTGTTTTTGTTCTATTGTCCTAACAACAAATGATTGAATTTCTTTTCATTGCATTGTATAAAAGATAAGAGCAATAGTTTACATTAAAATGTTTTCTGCAAAATGGAAAGATTAAATCCTTTATAAATTCCATAATTGGCTAAATTGAGCTTTTGAGCCTACAGTAACTACTTAAGTTATTTACTTCTCATATTTTGTCATTGACATTATTGTTCTTTAATAGTGAGATTTTTGTTGTTTATATGAAAATTTCAAAATGAAAACAACTCACACTTATATGGGATTTGAACTTTTTAGATGTACTAAGCTACATAACATAAAAAATATATGTATAATGGGAGACATAAACTTCTCTAAACCCGAAGCCCTTGCTAAATTCCTGCCAAGCTTACAAGTACCACAGTAATCATTATTTTTAGTTTACAACAGGGCAATATGCAATAACAATTTCTTGATACTTAATAGATTAAGAAAATATAGGGTTACAAAAATAGGTAAAGGTAGGCAGAGCATTATTCTTTTTGCTGAAAAAAGAGATGCTCAGTTGCATCATTTTGTGTTCCACCATTAAATAAAGGGTCAAGTTGAATGGAGGTTTATAGAGGAACCAAATGTAGAGAAAGTAGCTGAGGAGGTTTCATCCAGATTTAATTAGAGTGGCGGCAACAAAAGCATAAATCCAGAAATAACTAACTAGAAAACAGAGGGCCCAGAACCAGGGAGAACATAGAGCTTCAGGAGGGTATGAACATCCATCCATCCATCCATCCATCCATCCATCCATCCATCCATCCATCCATCCATCCATCCATCCATCTTCTTCCGCTTATCGGTGGTCGGGTTGCGGGGGTAGCAGCTTCAGTAGAGACCAGACGTCCCTCTCCCCAGCTACTTGGGCCAGCTCCTCCGGGGGAATCCCAAGGCGCTCCCAGGCCAGCCGTTAAACATAGTCCCTCCAGCATGTACTGGGTGTCCCCCTGGGCCTCCTCCTTGTGGAACGTGCCTGGGTATGAACACTGATCTCTATTTATTCACTGGATTGTTGATAGACCAAAAAAACAGAAGTCACCTGCCACCATCTTGGTACTCCCCACTTTCATTGAGTCGCGGCATAAAAAAGCCTGTATTTTAATGTCACTACAATAACAATTTACGTAATCAATACATGTATATTACATGTGCATCATCAATTCAGCACTTTTGGCACATTATTGAGTGTTTGTTAACACTTATATTGTTGTAATAGATTTGTATTATATGTCTTTTTTTATATTTTTTTTATTTTTTATATTTTTTTATTTTTTATATT